CAAACTAATTTAAGAAATTTGGACTAACTAATTAAAGTTAGGCTAACTAATTTAAGAAATTTTGACTGAATTTCCTGTCAAATCCTTTCAAATAGCTTCAGCGGGAACAACATTAGTGGTAATATGTGGATCAGTCCTGTAATCTAACAGAAACCTTTGCAGGGCAGGTTCAATGTCCTCCACAGAATTCTCCAATAAGGCATGGCGCAAACTTCTCTTTACAGTTTTGACACTATTTTTTGCCACTCCATTTCTTTTCGGGTTGTACACATCCCTGTTTTGGGTAATACATTATTTTTTTAAAGAAACGTTTGAAAATCTTGAGAAATTACCTAAAACAAATCTCGGGGATACCAAATCTTGCAAAAAGCTGTCTCAACATTGTGATTATAACTGCTGCAATCATATTAGTGGTCTGAAATACTTCTAAACACTTGCTATGACTCTCAAAAATGATGTAATATTTTCCTTCCAGTGGACCCAGGTAGTCAATATGGATCCTTTCCCATGGTCTTTGTGGCCAGGACCATGGGGCCAAGTCAGCTTTCGGTGGATAATCTCTACATGTTTGAAAAATTGAGCAGTTTTTCACGCATTCATCTATATCTGCGTTTAGAGCTGGCCACCAAGTATATGAGCGAACCATGGATTTTAATTTTCCCATTTCCAAATGCGAGGAGTGTAACTCCTTCAGAAGTCGACTTTGCAAGTTCTTTGGGATCACTACTCTATACCCCCAGATCTTACATCTTACATCGTACATCTTACACAACATGTAATTCCCCTTTAATTTTATTGAATTCTTGGAGAGCTGGATTGATTTTCTCTGGCCAACCAAATTTTTTGTACCTGGTGACTTCTTGTAGTTCGACATCTTTTCTGGTTTCTGCAACCACCTCTTGAAATTTAAATGGCCAGACCACATTATCTTCAAATACATAATTGATGGTAACTTTGTCATCTTTTCTCCTCCAGTATTTCCCTTTATTGATGATCTTGATAACCAGTCATCTATATTATTCATAGAACCTACTCATACAATATCATATGTATAATTAGCCAGCAAGATGGCCCAACGCTGGCAAATTCCTTTCTTTGGTCCAAAAATGGAAACTAATGGCTTATAATCGCTAACTAACGTCCATTTCCTTCCTAATAAATAATCATGAAACTTCTTCACTCCAAATATAATTGCTTCTGCCTCTTTTTGCAACTGTGAATATCCTTTTTCAGCTTGTGTTAATGTTCGCCTAGAGAATGCTTACGGTTTCTCCATTCCATTATAGTATTTTTGTGTCAATACAGCTCTTAATTCCATATCTGATGCATCCACGGTGATTCTGATGGACAAATTTTCATTATAATTTGACAGTGAGTGGTGTCACTATACCAATTTCTGCACTTCCATCCAGGCAAAATCACATTCCTTGCTCCACTTCCACTGATATAGAAGATATAGAAAGCTAGATATAGAAGCAAGATATAGAAAGGGCTCATTATTGATGATAACTTAGGCAGAAATAATTAACAAACCCAATAAAAGCTTGCAGTTTTTTTTACGTAATTAGGTTTCAGTGCTTCTAAAATTGTTTTAACTTTCTCATCTGTTGTGTTCATACCACCAGTATCTAATCTAAAATCTAAATATTCTAATGATTCTTTTCCTATTTCACATTTCTTCAATGATACCGTGAGTCCGGCATCCTATAAACGCTGGAGTACCTTTAATAATCTTTGCTTCAGCTCACTAAAAGATTTATTGCCAATTAATATACTATCCAATAGAGCGGTTGTCTCCTCCAATCCAGATATGAGAATGTCTATAGTTTTTTTTTTAAACTTGGCTGGCCCCAATGCTATACCAAAAGGTAACGTGGTATTTTGAAACAATCCTTTCTGAGTTGCAATAGTCAATAGAGATTTTGATTCCTCTTCCAATTTCAATCGCTGGTATGTATTGGCCAGATCCAGCTTAGCAAACATTTTATAGCTTTGCACTTATGTAAATAATTCTCCAATCTGTGGTAGTGGATGTTGGTCAACTTTTAGAAACGGATAATTGTAAATTTATAGGCTCCACATATTCACACACCTCCACTGTATACAGGAACAATTGGAGAGCTGTATGGAGTACAGAGTTTAAAATGCCTTCTATTTTTAAATCTACCACTTCACGGAGAGCAAAAGGTACTGTTCTCGCTATGAAATACCTTGGCTTTACATCAGGTAGTAATTCTAACTTGACTTCACCTTTATTAAATGTGCCTAATTGATCTGAAAATACTTTAGGAAACATATCTACAATGCTTTGAACATTTTTTTTTTTTTTTTTTTTTTTGTTCTTCCCTACCTCGCCTTTTAGGCTGTACGGGATTTTCCCGGGCCGGGGCGTGAGGGCGGGGAATTTAAAATCCCCTCCGGCACCGGGACGCGAACTCGTACTTTTTATATCATCTCAAATCTCTGTTATCCGGTTGCCAGGCAACTAGCGGTGTTGTGC